CTGTTTAGCAATAAGCTGTGACCCTCTCAGACTTTATAATGCTTGTGATGAGTCAAAGTACTTACTGGAATTTATGCTGTTGTAAACTGCTGTTCAAAGCTTCTTCAATCGCAACTAAATCTTTATTAAGTTTGATAACGCTAGAATCAGCATCAGAAATGTCAGTGGACGAATGAAATGCGGTCTGTAAAATAAAATGAGATTTTTGAATACATGAAAGATAGTACCATGGCAACTTGTACCATGGTAACCAACTGGAAAATGCAGTATTTTACTTAAACCGCTCAGAGTGTATATATTGAAGGATAGTGACAAGATTTCGGTTCTGAAATCACATTCCATCTGGTCATAGTGCTCTGCAAAATCAAGGTTTACATTAATTAGAATGCATGAAGCAATAGTTATTTCATTATTTTCATAAGACGGCTAAATTAAATACACATGAACATGTAAAATAACAATAACTTTCCCTGCCCAGTGAAATTGCTCAAAGCATTAAAATAAACAAAATTAAATGTTAGTGAAAATAAATGCTTTTACAGTATTTTTTATTTCGGTCACACACATACAATCAATGTATGTATGTAGAATATTATAATTTTTATTTTAATTTAGGAGTTTGGGAATGCTAAGCATAATTCTCATCAGAAATTTGACAGGATAGCTTGTTTTAAACAGTCATGCAAATCTTCAAACTGACTGTCAAAAACAGATTATTCAAATCAAAGTGTTAATCCAAACTGTTAGTAACAAACTGAATTATCTTTTCAAGTCAGAAAATAGTGTACATAAGATATGTAAGCATGTAGGATTAACCTTTTCACCACCAGACTTTCTCATCCACATTTGTTTGCACTTTTTTTCATTATATTCTTTAATATTTCTGGAAATAAACCCTAATTTTGGAGCCAACAATTTTTACTCAAAAAATCTGGCTATTTTTGTCCCAATCTTCTGAAGGAAAGTGCAGACTATAAACAAAACTGTTTTGTGAATTTGTGATGAAATGAGAGAATTGGTTGTGAAAAAGTAAAGACATGTATACATAGTAAATGATGTACAGGTAACTCATTTATTGTCTTTTTTAATGTGGTATCAGGGGAAGAAAAAAAAATGTGTGGTTTCTATAACCTGAACTATTTTTTGCTGCCTGACCCTTAACTGTTTTTTGGCCATATTTGAGAATATCTTGCGAAATTGATGCAGGCTTTGAATATGTTTTTATAGACACTCATATTTACAAAAACAGTTCTTATATGCAAGGATAAAAAATTAAACACAGTTGTAATAAAGAAAAAACATATATAAATATATCGGTATATAAAAATTAAAAAAATCTCTACCTACCTGTTCTATTTTTGAAAAGATGTTACAGGAACTACAACAATTGTTGGCCTTATTTTCTTGCTACGCTATCAGCAACAATGCATTTCTGCTATTACCGTATATCAACAACAGACTGCAACACACACCTTGCATGTTTATGTAATAGATGGGCTTTCTCTCATGGAGTTAGTTTTCAAGGGTAACCTGGTACTCAAGTGCGAGTTCCAACAGTGTCTTACCTGCATAAGTACTGGCATAAGGTAATAAAAACAATGAACTCTTATTTCTAGGTGAAGCACAAGTAGAGAGGTTTCCGCCATATCTTGATATTCCCTGTTAAGACTGGATAAAGACTTTAATGTTGCCTCTGGTAACACAGGAATATCCTGGAACAAAAGAGAAATTAAGTATGATTATTGAAATGCAATGAGAATATATATTGTACCTGGAATTGAATGTGCACAGGAACAGTATGCAGAGTCAAAAGTTCCCAATCCTCATTTTCCCCATTACTAATACTGTAAAATAATTTACTTTTTTCTTGGAATTAATTTTCGCTATTTTCGCTGAAGAAATGATTTAGTGAAAATAAAATCCAGAGAATATACCTTTTTTCATATATTTTACATTCAACCATGTACAGACCTTGCAACAATGCAATGAGATGAATTTCCAAAAGATGTATTATTACTTGCAAATAAATTATCCGACCAAGAAGAGCCTCTAAGTTGAATTTTATTGTAGAGTTGCAGGGATCGAAATTAAAATCTATTCGCCTGTCAAAGACCAGCAGATTATAGCTGATAAGGTAATTAATTGCATATCACTGTGGATTTAGTCCCACAAGTATCAAATTGCTTCCAGAGTATACTTACACTTGGTCTATAATCAACAGACATAATAACAGCTGACGAATTAGATAATGTGCAATAAAACGACTGGATTTTACCTGCAAACCATTCCTTTGAAGATAAAAAGAAATACTTTTATCTGAATGCCAATCTAAGTAAGTTTACAAAACAAACAAAAACAATTTGTGAAAGTAGAATATGGTCAGGAAATCACAAATCAGACAACAAAAGATTCAAATATAATGTTGTAGCCATAGAAACTTACTAAACTTTCATGCAGATTGGCCAATGCCTTCAACACATTGACATCCAGCAGGACTTCATGCTTAGGGATTACTTTATCACCAAGGTTACCAATCAACAGTTCTGATTCCTGTGGGTAAATAACAGTTATTAAAATTATATTGTCAGTAAAACTGTGTTTTGACATGACAAGTAATATGTGCACTGCAATAAATGCAACAGCTACTGTAACAGTATTCACACAATATTCACTTCAGAGTTTTCAGCATCTAAGGGTGCCATGAAGTCACCAAATTGCTTGCAGGATTCTCTGTTTAAAGATCTAAAATAGGTTACATTACAAAATATTTATTCAACATGAAGCATTTTCCACTAAGATCAGCACACCGATTTTTTGCATTCAGTCTATCTCTTTTGAATTTATAAGACAACGGTTTTACTCGTGTTTATCACATTACTGCATCTCAGCAAACTTTGTACTGTGTACATTGCATTTGAAGCAGCATTTAACATTTTCACCACCAGACTTACTTGCCCAATTTTTTTTTGCACTTTTTTTTCTCATATTCTTCAATATTCTGGAAATGAACCCTAATTTTGGAGCCAACAGACTCAGTTTGAGTAAATTTTTAGTGTTTACTCAAAAAATTTGGCTATTTTTTCCCAATGTTCTGAAGGAATGTGCTGACTATGAATAGGACTATTTTGTGAATTTGTGATGGAATGAAAGAACTGGTGGTGAAAAGATTAAACAACAATGCATGACAGCACTTATTGTAGTCAAAACAAATAATAAACTAAGTCAATAGAAGGTACAATAACATCAACTTTCCAACAGTATAACTCTTGCTATAACTTTCAGATTTTATTTTTGACCAAATTACTCACAAATTTGCTGACAATGCAACTTTAAAGGAACATGAGCTCAAATGTTGCGAAGTATTTGAAACATTTTCATAATCTATGAAATATTGATTCATCCATAACCCACAGAGAATTAAATTGTAAATCAAATTTTACCTTGGTATTTCTAGCTCTAATATCATCCAAACTTTCCACCTCAATGTCATTTTTATCTTTTCTGTGTTTCTGTAGATTTGTCCAGTTTGGTAATGACCTCAATAATCTTGAAATGTCTTCGTCTTTAGCCCATGTTGCACTAATAATCCGCTTGTCTTCAGCTTCTGGTTGTACTATACCTACAATTTACAGAGAATAAAATGTTTAAAGCAAGAATGGCACCAAGAGTAAATATTCCCCCCCCCCCAAAAAAAAGGATGTCAGTTTGAAATCAGTGCCTCGCAATTTTTTTTTTTCAATTATGCATACCGGTAAAGTGCGCCAAATATGGTAAAATGTTTGTTTTCTGTTTCAAAGCATTATTTGATAAATGTCAAATGTAGAATGTCAATGTAGAACGTTACACATCAAGTGTCATATAGGGTCATCAATCATACTCAGACACATAGTAAAAAAACATGTATAGTGTCTTGCAAGGTACTTTTTTTATGTCTAGAAAAATTGACAATATTTTTAGTGGGTTTTCAATGAGGAAATGTGTATTCATTGTGGTCTATGGAAACCACTGCTAACATTTTATAGGTTTTTTTTAAAAAAAAAGTCTGACAGTAAACCAACAAATTTTACATACTGTGGACTACAAATTAAAAACAATAGCAAATGGATTTTGACACTAAATATTATTACTGCTATATGCACTAAATATGGGCACATGTAAAAAATCTCACGACCAGCATTTTACACTGAGGCGATGTATATCTTACCTCTGTAGGCATTATGACAAATGTCTTTGTATTCTTGCAATACTTTACAAATCATGTTGAGAAACTGATCAGCGTAGGCTGGCAATGATTGCATCAAATCACGTAAATCACTCACAGCATTCTCTACAGCAACAGTGCTCTGAAACGTTTGAAGAGAATATATAAATTTGGCCAGTCAGAAAACACTAAGTTGCTCCGTGGATTAAAATTTAAAATGTATTGCTTTTTTTGTTGGTGCTGTTACGAGATATGGAAATAAAGAAATCATTATTTTTCCATCTGGTTTATTTCTATATTTATGAACAAAATCTGTCTATGTACGACCGAGATCCAGATCTGAAACATTGAAACAATCACCATCATGGATCGGTTCACCAAATAAATAAATATGCATATGTACGACATGATGTATGATGTATGTATAAAGTTTGAATATGATCAGTCGGGCATGTCAAGATATAGCTTTGAAACAGGATTCATTAAAATAGTTAGCCATTTCGAATCCCATCTAAAAAACAAATATATATGCATGAAGGTCTCATAATGTCAGATGTTTGTACCACGATCAAGTGATGATTTTGATAAATTGTCAACACAAAAATAGCCACCATTCGGCCATCCTGAATTGGATCTTAAAACCAATGGATGTGCAGATGTATCTCACAATGAATGATGTTGAAATAGCTGTAAACAATTGTAGCAAATTTGACCCAATGCACAAATTAACAGAATCTTAATTTAGTAAAGTATCAACTATCTCACAGTGAGATTATACTTTTATGTTAAATTAGCTACATTTTGAATTAGTGAAATTACAGATTAGCTGAAATAACATACTAGCTAAAACGACACGTTTTACAGTAAATCATAGCTTATATCAACAGTCTGAACAAAACTGAAGAATGTACATTATAAAGTGTACCTGTAAAAGAGGTCTGGATACACCTAGGATTTTTTGTGCTTGGGCATCAATTAAAGTTCTCAAGCCTTCACCACCTACAATATAGAAACAGAATGAATTACGGGAAAAACATAGACATCTATTATGCAAATTAAGTATGTATACTGGCCTGATGCTTGATCTCCAAAAGGTCACACATCCTGGTATTTTCTTGAGATACAAATTACAATCAATGACAATTCTTTAATTAGCTTCACCAATAAATACAAGCAATTTTTAAAAATGAGTTGTAATACTAAAAACAATTAGCTTAGCACAACAATACTCCTAGAACGTAATAATAATAACTGATACAACACTCAGGCTGTATGCCTATTGTTGGTCAACACAATTGAATACCAGGAATAACCTAAGGCTTAAAGGGGTCAGAATGTACCAGGATGTGTGAACTTTAGGATCCATTTTCAAAAATTTTGTGAAATCAAAACTTTGACAAAATTTATTGACTTGAGTATTTTTATTTAAAATGAGCAACAGTACAGTGAATGCAGTGAAGGTATGATTTTTTTTTTTATTTAAAAAATTTATAAATGATGTTTTTATAAATTTCAAGTGATGGTTGAAAACAACTTGACCAATCGCAATGCCTTATCTGATGCATGGCATTAAAACAGCCAATAATGATGGAAACCTGCAAAGACTCGTGGGTAATGGATATTAGGATCATGACCTTACCCTTAGTCACAGCTTCTATTTTAGTGTTGATTTCACAATGAACTTGGCCTAGAAATATGTCTTTGATAAAATCTGATATAAATCCATGAAGCGTACAATGAGACCTGAAATAGAAATGCAATAAACACTGAAACCTACTCATTAAGCAAGAAGCCTGCACACTTGGGGGTGGAATGAAACTATCTACAATTTTTACATTGCAAAATGAACCAATATAATGATTTTGGATTGAAAAAAACTTCCCGAGGCTTATTTTGAAATAACACTGGTTATAAACACAGCTATAGTGGCAGTTATTGATTACTTCTCTTGTATGATGATATAGGGCAAAAACAATTTCATGACTGACAATGTACTTTTTGTTGTTCTCTAATTATTATTCATAACTATAAATCGCTGAGCAAACCAGATACTCTGATGTAACCATGACATTTTGGGTGTATCTGTAAAAGTACATACCCTGGTGAACATCCAATATTAGCCTCTATTTCTCGGATGAATAATCTTAATAGATTAAATATGGCTGTGATATTCTTAGCAGATGGATCGCATACAAATACAGGTTCATCTGTGTCCTGTTTCTCTGTATCCTAAAATAAATATAGTACACTATTGTAAGACTATTTGTAAATCATTATTTATGAATAACAAAAAGTACAGAATGAAATCATCCATCAGGTATTTATGCAAACAATGAATAATATATAAATATATATAATTACTATTACAATGTATTATAAATGTTGTATTCCTTTTGCTCTATAGACATACTGGGTAGTAGGTGTATCTGGTACCCTTGGCCCTTTTGCAGCAATGGGTAGTTGGTGTAACTGGTACTCCTTACACTTTGTCCATTTCGGTAGTTGGTGTATATTTGGTACCTCTGGCTCAGGTGAAAAATGTGAAAAAATAATGATTTTGGTGGCCGAGACCAGGACAGCAGTTTTTCTCAATGTGAAGCAAGAAACATTTTTATTTGGTTAATGCAGAGATGCTCAGTTTTCTTGAGATATATCTGTGCGACAGAGATACAATGTAGGACAGTGATCACTGCGTGTTCCAGTCACTAAATGATTAAAATACCTTTGATGACAATTAAGATAGCCACCATGTAAGCTACCCAACAGAGGGTAAAAATCTGACATTATAATCTTTCAACACAAATAATGAGAGGAATAGATTAAGATATGTTATTTGATACCTGAACAAACTTAGACTAAACTAAAAGTTAGAGTGAAGATGATGACATTTTACACTGTTTCCAGTGCTAATACTGTGAACCGCTTAATTTACCCTGATAGAAATATTTGTGATTTCAGGATTTTATTTCATTCAAGAAGACAAAATTTCATCAAAGTCACAGACGCTTTGCGTTGTAGGAATCTAGAAAAATGTTTTGCGTCGTAGAACTCTAGGAAAATGTTCACTGCTGCTTGTGATTTTTACTGACTTATGAAAAATTTTCTGTTGCAGAATTAAAGAGATTTACAGTATTTCAAACTATGTACTACCTACCAAGCCATAGAATCCAGGCTGTTTCTGTGATTTACAGTATTTCAAACTATGTACTACCTACCAAGCCATAGAATCCAGGCTGTTTCTGTGATTTACAGTATTTCAAACTATGTACTACCTACCAAGCCATAGAATCCAGGCTATTTCTGTGATTTACAGTATTTCAAACTATGTACTACCTACCAAGCCATAGAATCCAGGCTGTTTCTGTGATTTACAGTATTTCAAACTATGTACTACCTACCAAGCCATAGAATCCAGGCTATTTCTGTGATTTACAGTATTTCAAACTATGTACTACCTACCAAGCCATAGAATCCAGGCTGTTTCTGTGATTTACGGTATTTCAAACTATGTACCGGTACTACCTACCAAGCCATAGAATCCAGGCTGTTTCTGTGATTTACAATATTTCAAACTATGTTCTACCTACCAAGCCATAGAATCCAGGCTATTTCTGTGATTTACAGTATTTCAAACTATGTACTACCTACCAAGCCATAGAATCCAGGCTGTTTCTGTGATTTACAGTATTTCAAACTATGTACTACCTACCAAGCCATAGAATCCAGGCTGTTTCTGTGATTTACAGTATTTCAAACAATGTACTACCTACCAAGACATAGAATCCAGGCTGTTTCTGTGATTTACAGTATTTCAAACTACCGGTATGTACTACCTACCAAGCCATAGAATCCAGGCTGTTTCTGTTCTCTCAGGTAATTATTCATACTAATAGCATGTGATGACTGCTCAAACTTGAATAATGACATTTTGGGTCGTGTGTATCTCCTTTTTGAGAAGTAGGAACCAACATCAGTGCTACGGAAAAAAGAATACAGATTAATTATATCTGATTCAGTGAATCACGTAAAAAGAAAATGTCTTCAATAATACTACTTTTAAATATTTCAAACTGAAACAAGATACCCAATTGTGAGAGTAGTCGGCACCACACTGTAGTAGATAATATATAGTATTATATACTAAGCAGATGAAATATTTCAAAATTTGGGCAAAAAAGACCAGTTGTAGTATGAAGTTGATTATAAAAATCTTGCCTATTTATGAAAAATTTACCTAATTTTTTTTTTTTTTGCAATACTATCAAACTGTCATGCATACGGACTGGAAACGAATCTATTTATTGCCTTTATTATTTTTTTCCAGGCAACATAATTTTAACAAAAAATAAGTCATTGTTGTACACCTAACCAGCGGCATTAAAATTTCTTTTCAGTCTGCAATATATTCAATTCATCATACATGTACATACAGGATAATGAAGTGTATAGAGTGTGTATTATAAAAGTGAAACATTAGACTTACCTACTGGTGGTAGTAAATGTTGTAGGTGTTTGTTGTTTGGTTGCTGCAGTGTTCTTGACATCAAGGTAGTCACCTAGCAACATTTGTAGCTACAATTTAAACCAGCAACAGGTACAGGTGAAGAAATGTTGAATTAAATGCAAATACCTGATTTGCTCTATCAGTAGTGCATTCGCTTATGTAAATAGAGGTGTTTCTATGGTCACAATAAGACATATTTCAATGACGCAATATATAACAAATGCCATTTTTAGTTGATATGCATTGAACAAATACGGTACAAGAAATCCACCATGGCACATAAACACAAAGCTATGGCAAGTAGACAATTAACATATTTGCTCTATTAGAAGTAGAATAGAAATATACATATAAACCAAATGCATTTATAGTAGACTGGATTATTAAAATATAATGTCTTATAACCATAGACACATCTCTGTCATTTGCATAAGTGCATGCACTACTACTTGAGCAATAGGGTATTATACAATGTTCCACTCAGCATCACATGATTGCTTTCAACCAATCACAAGCCTTATCTTGCTAAAGATAGCATCACATGATTACTTTCAACCAATCACAAGCCTTATCTTGCTAAGGATAGCATCATGTGAGAACTTTCAACCAATCACAAGCATTAACTTGCTAAGGATAGCAACACATGATTACTTTCAACCAATCACAAGCCTTATCTTGCTAAGGATAACATCAGATGACTAATTTCAACCAATCACAAGGCTTATCATGCTAAGGATATCACATGATTACTAATCACAAGCATTAATTTGCTAAGGATAGCATCACATGATTACTTTCAACCAATAACAAGCATCAACTTGCTAAAGATAGCATTACCTGATTACTCTCAACCAATCACAAGCCTTATCTTGCTAAGGATAGCATCATGTGAGAACTTTCAACCAATCACAAGCATTAACTTGCTAAGGATAGCAACACATGATTACTTTCAACCAATCACAAGCCTTATCTTGCTAAGGATAACATCACATGATTACTTTCAACCAATCACAAGCATTAACTTGTTAATGATAGCATCACCTGATTACTTTCAACCAATCACAAGCATTAACTTGCTAAAGATAGCATCACATGATTACTTTCAACCAATCACAAGCCTTATTTTGCTAAGGATAGCATCACATGATTACTTTCAACCAATCACAAGCAATAACTTGCTAAAGATAACATCACATGACTACTTTCAACCAATCACAAGCCTTATCTTGCTAAGGATAGCATCACATGATTACTGTCAAACAATCACAAGGCTTATCTAGAAAAAACACCAAAAAAACAAACAAGAGACTTTATGCAAGTCAAACAATAATCTTAACTGTAGGTATTTATTGCAAAAGAGCATCAAAATATTGTTATTCCATTTATATTCATGAACACTAAAAACTGCAATATTGACATTATTACAAGTAGTGGTTTTGTTGCCACTACTATCATATTTCATACTCACTACAGCTTGTATTTTAGACCAGACTTCTTGCATGTCATAAAGCTGAAAATCTGTATTAACTTGAGAAGCAGAATTCTAAAAATAAACAACATTTGGATTAAAAACAGTAATTCAATCATAAATATATAATGCAAGCTCTGTGACAGAAATATTCTGTGTGAAATTTATAGATTTTTATATTCGTGTAATGATTTTGGTAGTTACCAGGTCCAATTTACGAAATACTAGGCGGTACAAATAAGGAAATAATTTAATAATTACTAATGGGCAGGAATTAACATCAGTTAACAAATTCACTCACACTGACAATTTAAAAATTGAAATATAAATTTCACACGAGAAAAATACTGTTTCAGAAGTATGTCAGATAGATTACATTTATCAATTTTGAATACAATATTCTGACTCTAGATTGAGTTGAGAGAGATGCACACTATATTTACACAATATAGATAATAAACATGCAGCCATATTATCTGGTAACAAAGGAATAGGTCTGACACATCCATTCAGTTAGACCAAGAAGACACTGGTTATATAGGGATAATAATGATAATTTTCATATTGAATATCACATTGGAGCATTCACAATGTTAGTTGACAACTAGGTGACCAGTATCATGGATATTATCAGATCATTTATTAAATGCAATTATACATAATATTTATTACAATAAGTCAGTGCAGAATTAAATTACATGAAGAAAAAAAAGCATAAGGATGCTGATTATTATTTACTATTTATCTAAGTGCAATTAATACAATTCTTAAAGCGATGTTTATTTGGGATTCCAATGTTAACCAGATATTAATAACACATGCAATCACTGAATGAAGGAGATGGATGCAGGAATACGTATAAGACCTATAGTGTAATAAATGTCATCTCTAACAACTCAATCACAGATGAATCAATTAGGCAGACTGAGAAAAAGATGTATATATATATATATATAGCATGAAATATGAGAGTTAGTTTTGTGACAGACCCCAACCTTTGAAGCAAGAGAGAAAACACTATTTCTACACACCATCATTTAACACACTACTATTCCAGCCAGTGTTTGTTAATAGCATTGCTATATCTGGGAGGCATAGTTTGTTGAACTATAGGTTGTCACCTGATTGGACAGTGCGTGGTGTTTGATTGTTGGCCCGCATGCACTTCTTACCTCTTCCATGGATCTCTTCTGAAATAGGGATGGTAGCATGGGAAGAGATTAAAGCACAGTCATTGTCACTACACATGCTAAACCTCTTTTATTGAAATTTTAGTAAAAAAATTCCATGTTTTCTCATTTTAGGATAATTTCTACATAAAGTCCAGGTTCAAAACATATCAAATCATACCTTACACAAGGTTTACCATTGTAGCAGACACACGTACATGTACATCCACTTTTTTTACACAATGACACAAGACACAATGACAGTAGAAAACACATACTGAGTCAAAAACATCTCTTAATAATACGTAGTGGTTGTGTCCAATATATGAGAACATAACATAAACAACAATGTGTTTATATATGGATAACTTGTGTACTGATTATAATCAACATAAACAACACAGGATCAATACGAAAACATGGCAAATATTCTGCATGCTAGAGGAGATAGATGCAGTGTCTAGTCAGACATAGTGTTATTATGAAATCTCAAACAACTTGATTATTCAAAAATTAAAATATAAAGCAACACAACCAATCAGTCTCATATCAATTTTAGTAACAATACATAAATTAACATTCATTCAACCTGTGACAAACAAGAAAATGTTCACAGCAGCTATGTTATATAGATTATCTATATCTACCCTGATTCGTTTCAGTGTGATAAGTGTAATCATATGAGTCGCTGCAACACAGTGGTAATCTTACCCTAATTTATTTCAGTGAGATAAGTGTAATCATATGAGTCGCTGCAACACAGCGGTAATCTACCCTAATTTGTTTCAGTGAGATAAGTGTAATCATATGAGCCACTGCAAGACAGCAGTAATCTACTCTGATTTGTTTCAGTGTGATAAGTGTAATCATATGAGTCGCTGCAACACCGGTTATCTACTCTGATTTGTTTCAGTGTGATAAGTGTAATCATATGAGTCGCTGCAACACCGGTTATCTACTCTAATTTGTTTCAGTGTGATAAGTGTAATCATACGAGTCGCTGCAACACAGCGGTTATCTAGTCTAATTTGTTTCAGTGAGATAAGTGTAATCATATGAGCCACTGCAACACAGTGGTAATCTTACCCTGATTTGTTTCAGTGTGATAAGTGTAATCATATGAGTCGCTGCAACACAGCGGTTATCTAGTCTAATTTGTTTCAGTGAGATAAGTGTAATCATATGAGTCGCTGCAACACAGTGGTAATCTTACCCTGATTCGTTTCAGTGTGATAAGTGTAATCATATGAGTCGCTGCA